CATAGCTCCAGTCTTCTCCATGATGGCAGCGGGGTCTCCCCGTGTGCGGCGATATGGGGCAGCCCCCACTATGCCCTGGCTAAAGAGCTGTAGACCGCAACAGAAAAAGACTAAAATGCTCCAATCAAAAGCGGACTACCTTCCTGAGCCCATCCCCCAAGCTATAGGTGAGTACCAGTCTCCCTCACCCAACTGTGGCACTCAGCCCCCCGCATCTCCGTGTCCTTATCTCAGGCGTCCCACACTGCATGATAGCCTACTCTAGGATTGATAGCGCAAACCAAAGGGCAGTGAACATGGTCCCTGAGAGCCTTTCCCGGAGTCGCGGCAGCTGCGGCACCCCACAAAAAAAGACAATGAAACTGGCAAGGTGCAAGAAGATGATGATGCCACAGGCAGTGCGACAGGCAGTGGCACAGGAAGGTAAGGGGTCGTAGTACCACTTCCCAGCACCCCCTCCATATCGAAGCACCTAGCTTGCACGGTTAAGTGCATCCTCTGTGCGAGGATGGATTCTAGGTGCCAACATGCATGTGGGCTTGAGGGAGATGAGGGAGCGTGGAAGGCCTTGTGCCATCAAGAGAAGGGGCCTAAGGGAAGAAGTCTGGGGAAGCCTCCCCCTCCCCAGCAGCACATCGAAAGTCAAAGCTGTGCTGAAAACCACATCCTGAAGCACCTTAACTCTGCTCCCCCAGATGACACACACGCCTCCTGCCCATATCTTGATGTGCCCACACGTGTCTTCAAAGGGTTGTCTGTGCCCTGGGGTGTCATTGGGGATGGGTCTGTGTCAGTCGCTGTCTGAGAGGTCCTAATTTCAGTGGCTTCTCACAGGCTAAAGGGAGCTGAGTGCCCAATGCAGAAGTCAGGTCCCTTGGCACTGCTCTGTCTGGTCTGGGGTAACCTTCCCCTTTTGTCCCTGTACCTCCCCAGAAGCATCTCCCCTGATAAAGCTGGTCTCCCTTCAGAACGCCAATGGCTCGTGGGGCCTTGACTCCGCCCTGGCTTCTGCGCTTGGAGTGAGTGAAACAGATGTCAAGGGCAAAATGCCCAGTGAGGTGAGCAGGCTGGGATGAGTTGGGGCAAGAAGAAATGGGCATCGTGAACTGGGCCTGTTGTCAGGACCCCTGGGTCAGCCAGATGCTACCCCCAGCCCCACCTGGGCCCTCTCACCAGGTTCCCAATGGGGTCACCTGGGGGGATCCATAGAGGCCACAAGCCCTGGATGGGAGAGCTGTAGAGACCCTCCTACTTTCCCTGGGGCCTTGTCCCAGCAACAGAGTTTTCAGGCCTTGCCCCCATCTTGGACCTCCTAGTACGACCCATGCCTTGCTTTGGCCTTGAACCTGTCTAAGGCCTGGTGTGGTACCTTGGGCTCTGACTGGTGCCCAGTACTGTAACCCTTGGCGCCAGCTCTTGGACTCCCAGTATTGTGACCCTTGACACTGGTCTCCTAGACTTGGAACCCCGAACCCCACCCACATCCCGGGCAATTCATGGCATCTGTTCTCTGCTCCAGGGTGGGAATGGGCCCTTGGGAGTGACCTGGGGGAAATCAAGCTCAATGTCCAATGGGAGCTGGCTCAGAGGACTGGGAGGACCTGATTATGGGATGTGGGACATGGGAGATGGGGCCAGGTGCAGGTCTTGGACATATTTCTCACCGCAGGGTGTGGAGCCCGGGGTCTGGGCGACGGTGCTGGCTGTGGTCTGGCTGCATAGCCGCAGTGCAGCGCAGCGCGAGGAGTGGGAGCTGCTGGAGATCAAGGCCGTGGGCTGGCTGCGCAGTCGAGCTGGTGAGAGGGCCCCCCACTTCTGGTACTCAGGGTCCTCTCACCTGACCCCTTCTGACCTCCCAAAGCTGCAGCTCAGGCCCCCACAACTCTTGTCCACAACCACCTCCTTCCCCAGCAGACCCCACAGTCAGGCCTCCCGAGTTGACAGTCGCAATGATAAGTACAGCTCCCCTGGGGGCCCTATCCTGATGCTCCCTGCCCCCTGGTGCACCGAGGCCTGGCCCTGCTTCCCTAAGCACTCCTGCCAAGGGGCACACTGCCCCAGGACTCCCCGCCTTGTCCCCAGTCCTCCTGTACTCTGCCTTCAGTGCTGGGCAGCCTTAGGACAACCCTTCCACCTTATAGTGGGGCACAGAGGAAGAACCCCCTTGAGCACAACCACAAGGGTCCTGAGCCCTGCTTTTTCTAACACCAAAGCCAGGGGTTAGCTTCTCCTGCTGACCCTCCCCTCTCATTGCAGGATCCATCTCCCAGCTGGACAAGTGCCTGGAGGCAGCCAATGCCCTGCTGGGCTGCTCCGTGGCTGGCCCTGGTCTTGGGGTGTGCAGAGCAATTCAGAAACATCTGCTGCCAGCTGCTTGACAGATTTGGCAGCCAGCTCCGCTCCCAGCCAAACCGCTGCTTAGTAGATTGTGCCTTGCTTCAAGCTGATCTCTGATCTGATTTGGCAGGAGCAAGGGTGGGAGGGGAAACTCAGTTTCCTGTAATGGTCAAAAGCACGCTGGCAATCTCCTGCTCTCCTTCAGCATGGT